GCATGGCTGCCGGCTGCCATCTTGGCTGACAGTTAATTTGCATAAGGATATGCTGATTAGCCAATGGGAAGGGTAGCGGTCGTACGCTAATTACCATGTTTCTCTTTTATTAGAGTAGATGTTTCATTCCATCAGTTATGCCATCCTAGTTCAAGTAATATTTCCCTTTTAGAGTATTAGGCCATTTAAAATTTACTTTGTTAACTTTTAATTATAATATTCAAATTAAACATAAATAATACTAATGCTGTTCTCAAATTGAAAAATTTTATTTTTCAATTTCTCCTCACATTTTTAAACAAAATGGTTTAATAATTTTTATATTTTAATGACTTCCGATTTTTTTCATAAATCACAATTTCCTCAAAAGAAATAGTGAGCAATTTAAGACAAGTATCATTTTATTAACATAAAACAGGCCCCATTTACCACAGCATACAGCACAGTGCCTGGCACACATATTAAGCGCCAAATCTATGTGTTAGACTGAATACTTTTAAAAGTCAACAGATTTTTTCACCAAAAAGTATAAGAAATACATATCTATGGATTACATGAGACAATGCATATAAAATACTTAGCACAGTGCCACTTGTCCAGTGGAAAGCTCTTACTAAATATTATCTGATGCTACTGATAGGAAGTAATGTTTTCAGTGATGCAGTGCTTCCATCATCTCTACAACATACATAACATTACTTTCAAATAATTACAAACATGGTCAATTACCATGAGGAAGCCATCTCCAGCTAAATTCCTTCCAATTCCTCATGTGGGATTGGACTGTTACTTTATTTGAAGACACCAAATGTCTGATAACCACATGTCCCACGGTCATCTGGTTTTCCAGATGTCATACTCCAAAATCAAAGGACTAATCAGTATATATAGCTGGGAGATCCTGAAAAAGTGTCCTACTACATGTTTAAAACCCTGACTGGAAGAGGAAGGCTTTCTTTTGGAGTTCCAGAATTATAGGTATAGTTTAAAGTAAAACCAATACACTGTATACATTTTTGGGAGGTAAGAGCCCATTTAAAACATGTTCATTTCAGTCCAGCAGGTATGTTACAAAGTGCTCACCATGATTAATCATCAGGGCAGTGCAAATCAAAATTACAGAGACAATACCTCACCACTCCTGTTAGGATGGCTGCTATCAAAGGGTCAAGAAATGGTGTTGGCAGGGGTGTGAGAGAGGGCAACCCTTGTGCACTGTTAGTGGGAACGTAAAGTGGTTTAAAGTACTGACCTTATATCTTGTTCACCATCAAAACACCTGCTTTAAAGTACTGAGTTCTAAATATCTATTTGATAAACAAATAAATATGAGTAAACCAACTCATTATTTTTGCCTGAGAGTCATGTGATGACAAAGCACTACTTGTATTTGAGGAATCAGACTTTAAGTAGATATGTTTGTAATAACATTTGCCTCTTCATTACTTTATTAAGGAAGAATTAAGTGTACACAAATTCATTCAGCCATTGTCTCATTCAAAAAGTGTTTTCTGGGCATTTTCTAAAGCCACAGCACTATTCTGGGTGTAATGGGATTGAAGAAGCCATAAACATAATCTCTTCCCTCCACATGTTTGCAATCTAGCTAAATCAATATTACGTGATACCATGTATCATGAATGAGGACTATCAGAAAGTCCTCTTTAATGATGCCAAATATTAATTTTATTCCAGGAGGCTGCCTTGGCAAGCTGTCATGAGGCATATGGTGTAAGCGTCATTGTAGGAGTACCTCCTGATTCCCAAAATCTCTCCATGAACCCCATGCTGCTATTGAGTGGGCGTACCTGGAAAGGAGCAGTTTTTGGTGGTATGTATTTAGGCTTGAGGGATGAATTTTTATTAATCTTTATCATTTGACTGGAGGCCCAGTGCACGAATTTGTGTATGGGTGGGGTCCCTCTGGGTGGCCTGCGAGGATCGGCTGAAACCCGCAGTCCAAGGCTGCCTGCAGCCCCTACCTGCCACTCCTGCTCATCCCGGCCCCACTGAGCCTGCTTGGGCTCGCGCCCAATGAGTCCCAATCGGGAGAGGCTTGTGCCGCTGCAGCAGTGCTCACCACCCTGAGCCCTGTGTCTGGCGCCCTCCCGAGGGGAGTGGCCTGCGGGATTGGGCTGAAACCGGCTCTCTGACATCCCCAACATCCCCTGGGGGGTCCCAGATTGCAAGAGGGCGCAGGCCAGGCTGAGGGACCCCACCAGTGCAAGATCAGGGCCGGGGAGAGACCATCCACAGTAGAGCTCCAGGTCATGTCTGGCTCCATCTTGCCCAGTCCCGATGATCACCAGCCGTGGAGGGACACGGGAGGTTGGCCAGCCGGGATGGACCGCGGGAGGGCTCCAGGGCATGTCTGGCTAGTCTGGCTCAGTCCAGATCGGCAGACCCCAGCAGCAAGCTAACCATACCAGTCAGAGCGTCACTCTATCCGCTGGTGGTCAGTGCATGTCATAGCGAGCATTGAGCGGCTTTAGCATATCATTAGCATATTACGCTTTGATTGGTTGAACAGTTGACCAGTCACCAGACAACCAGACACTTGCATATTAGGCTTTTATTATGTAGGATTTCTTCCCTTTATCAAGTGCCAAGGTGAGTTTTTAAGAAGCAACGTGGTTTAAATAAATTAAGTCATTTGTATCTATAGGCTTCAAATTAACTAGAAGTAGAACTAATACACACATTCCCAAGATAGACATCTGGTGTCCCCATAAACTAGGGTCTTTCAGCACCACTTCTCTTTATACATGTGACTGCACAAGGCATGAAATATACCTAGGAGGACACAGGAAGTCCATAGCAATAATTCATGGTTACTCTCATTGCCCAAATCTAGACAGCTGCACATTTTGCTCCTTGCCTTTGGGAATAACCATGCATACAATAATTTCTCTGTGAGAGAGCTAATAACTAAGGACCCTAGCTTAGCTCATCAGATTTTTTAAAGTAACAACAACAACAAAAAGTCTAACCACTGCAAGAGGATATTGGAGCACTCAGTCTCTCACTGACCTCAGTAATAGTAGTCTGCGTACAAGTAAGTAGCAGTAGAACTTCCACTTGAATTCTATTCAGAAAGTCTCCTCTCCAGTTCTCTTACCCCTGGCTACCTCTAACAATGATGTCATGTTCTTTTCAGGCTTTAAGAGTAAAGATTCCGTCCCCAAACTTGTGACTGACTTTATGGCTAAGAAGTTTTCATTGGATCCATTAATAACCCATGTTTTACCTTTTGAAAAAATAAATGAAGCATTTGACCTGCTTCGTTCTGGAAAGAGGTAATTTTTAAGTTTCCTTTTATGGTGGGGGTTTGATTAACAGAGAAAAGAGGTGAAAGTACGAGAAAAACATTGGAGTGCCTTGGTTTTCCATTACTAGTTCAGTCTTTGCATGTAGAACATTTAAGACCATATTGTGAGAAGCTAGGAACAGTTGTTTTGCATTTCCTGCTGAAACATTGTTCTGCTGAAATGAAATTACATATGCTGGTTACAGTGAATCTAAATGATCAAAGCCACTCATCTTTATATACAAAAGAAGACTCACCCTTGCTAAGAATAAGAATCAGAGTCCCACAGTCATAAGCATAACATGGAGTCACTGCAGCTTCTGCCTGGCCAGCTAAAAGGTTGACCATTAATGGCTGTAAATGCAAATTATATATAGGAGTAGGTGGAGCTACATTGGGATTGTTTTAATATAATGTAACATTTAATATAATATGATATATCATATAAATAATTTTTAAAGGCATGAACACATTTTTCTAAAAGTATCCAACAGAAGATGATTTTAAGAAAGGACATGAGTTATAGTGTAAATATTATATAGCTGATCTTATCAAGAATGGAGTCTCTCTAGCTTTATCTTCTTACTAAGGCTCCTTAAGCACCACTTTATCAGAGCTCTATTAAATCTTCATCATTTACTATTATATCATTGCTTCCTTCAGGCCAGTTACTTGTCATCTTGTAATTTGTGCAATTTTGTATTCAGGTTTAAATCCCAGCACTTTACACTAGATGTGTGACCTAGAGCAAGTTACAAATATCTCTAAGCCTCAGAATTTTTAATCTCTAATCTTTAAAGCCTACCTCATAGCATTGTTGAGTTTAAGTGATAAAATGCACAAGAAACATCTATGGAGTATGTGATAAACAGCAAGAACTTATTACCCATTGTTGTTTTCAATTCATTATTATGCCAGGCATGTAGGATCTCAAAAATGTTTTTTGAGAATCCTAATCTATATATATAAAAGCCTAAGCGACCGAAAGACCAAACAGCTGGAATGACCAGAATGACCAGAACGACCAGTCACTATGATGCACACTGACCACCAGGGGGCAGACACTCAACGCAGAAGCTGCCCCCTGGTGGTCAGTATGCTCCCACAGCGGGAACACCAGCCTGGCAGCAGCCACTCCCTCAATAGTTTTGCAGGTCCAATCTCTGGAGAACGGGCCAGGCACAAATGGACCAGCATCATCAGCACAATCCTGACAGTGCCACCAGCCCCCTGGAAGTCCACTTCAGGCACCGTGGCCGCTTCCCCTCCCTAGATGCTTTGCAGGGAAGAAAGGCTATAAAAGTGGCTGCCAGGTGGGTCCCGACAACCGGCACGAACGTCGGCAGGACGGATCCAGATCCCAGGCCGGCAAGGGCATCCCACTGCCTGCCTGGAGGGCCGATCGTGTCCTGGGGCCCCCACCCTTCTTGGGACCCTACCCATGCACAAATTTGTGCACCGTGCCTCTAGTTGATTATAAAGCCTAAATGACAGCCATGTTTAGGTTTGAGTTTAAGGTTGGAGAAAACACAAGACCAAACCCAGAAAAGGTGAACTATCTTTGACTTGAATACATAGGGATGGGAAGGGAGTGGCAAGAAACACAGACACCTGTTCAGTGAGACACATCAAATGCCCCTGGACTCTTACATGGAAGAATGTGAACTACATAAATATTAAAATAATATCTTTTATTTTGTGTTTCAGTATCCGCACTGTCCTGACATTTTGAGATCATACAAAGGCTTTCACTTGTAGCTGTCTTCTGGCTCCTTCATCATCTGGCACATCAGACAAACAACATCAATAATTCTGTTCTTCAGAGATGTTGTCAATAAATTATACATGGGAGGTTTCCATGGGAAAACAAGAAACAAAAAATTATGTGAAAACCTTTTTCAGGCATATTTTTAAAATCCAAGTGAAGGATAGATGAGCCATCAGCGGATTAATTGAATCCAATAAACATTTTTCTTAATCACTCCACTCACGTTGCATGGTGTCGTCTTTCCCATTAAGGAAAAAGATTTCTTTGACTTCTTGCACGTTTTGTACTGTTGCCACCCTTAGTCACTGAAGCCCAGTGGGAGAGGTCCTCATTTTACTTGTCCCCAGCACACACTTGATGGGCTCTTGTGCTCGAAGTCTTCTACTTCTGCCTCTACTTCCACTGCCTGTATTTTCCTTTCTATGAAATGTACCAAAGCCCAAAGGTAAAAACTGCCAGGGAAAGGGTATACTCAGACTTTTAGATGAATATGGACCAGGATGTCTAAATGCAGGAAATTTCTTAGGGAAATGTGGCACACACATATGATACAGGGGAGTGTATTTATTGATTTTATACTCTTTGCTCTTAATATATAACTGTTCTTTAAAATAAAAGCAATTTCGTGCTACCTGTGATAAATGTGAGGTTCAGATATTAAATGTGAAAACTGAGCTATTCCTAGAAACTTATTATAAAAATCTGGACTTTTACTCATGAAAGTGCTTCATTGGTTAAAACATATTATTACCTTAATTATTTCTCATTAACTGAAAATGAGTCTTACATAACTAAAAAGTAATATGGTGGGTTAAAGTATATGGTTGAAGCAGGTGTGGATACAGCATATAAAATGATAACTAAGAAATGGCACAAACATCAAAAGCAATATGTTTTCTAAACGTGTGCATATATACAGATGTACAATTTTGCTAAAATTATTTTCTATCTAGAACTTTTCTATTAACTACCATGTCTTAAATCAAGCCTATAACCCTGGAATTAGTTTAATGTTTTTAAATATGTGGAAGCCTGTGGTACGTTTGTTAATGCTGTTCCACAATCAGGGGAAGGTTTGCATTTAGGCTTAATCTCTAAATGTGTAATGGAAAGCTTATTCCCGTAAGGAGTTTTAGCTCTCTCCAAAAGTGTATTTGTTTCCATGTCTATAATTTGTTTGGTGTTGTAGAAAGGACTCCAGACTAGGACAAGTGATCTCCCACTTCTCTGTGACCTCCTGTAACTTACTCAACCTCTCTGAGTCCATTTCACCCTTTATTTTTAAAAATTATTCTACTGACCCATTACAGCTCAGAAAGCTTAGATGAGATGATGCCAGTTAGAGAGCTTTCTCAATGATGAAGTGCCATAAAGATGTAGGAGATGGTACAATTGTATTGTAAGAGGCTGAGGGAGATATTGAGGTCCAGGCAGCTTCAGAATGTCCCCTTGGGTCCATGTGGCTGGGTGCTCCAATGACTTTATATTGGTGCTGATGATGTGAGACCCAGAGGAAAAGATGATGGTTCTAAATACCCACATCACAATAGTGAGCATAATGTTCTGCTGGTTGTACAAAGGCCTACATCCAGCTTCATCTTCCCTGCCGCCCAGGTTGTGGGGAGCGAGTGGAGAGCAGGATGTAGGTCGGCATGTCAGTGGCACAGTCCTCCTCCATGGGGTGTGTGGAGAGGTTGAGGGAGGGTGCTTTTTGTGCACTGGCTCTCTGTATACATTGACGTTGGTGGGGAAGGAGACAGCTGAACTCAACATATAAAAATGGGACTCCAGATTGTTGGTATCCCGATAAGCCTGTAAGGGGCACATGGACCCGGTGTCCTGTTGGTCTCTAGTAATGAAAATTCTGACTCTAGAATCAAGAGTTTCCAATTTTCCCTGGCCTGTGTGGCTCAGTTAGTTGAGCATTGGCCTGTGCATCAAGAGGTTGCTGGTTTGATTCCTGGTCAGGGCACGTGCCCAGGTTTCGGCACCCATCCCCAGTAAGTGGCATGCAGTAGGCAGCTAATCGAAGTTTCTCTTTCATCGATGTTTCTCTCTCTCCTTCTCTGTTCCTCTCTCTAAAATTAATAAAAAAATATATTTTTAAAAAATTTCCATATTAGTTTGTTGGTCTTCTTTTTAAAAAATATAACTGTAAGTGCATATAGCTTGCAATCACTTTTAGCCAACTGCAAAAAGTTTAATCAAAATGAAGAAAATTTTCAGTTTGAAGAAAAAGAATTTCATGTTGATGGTTTAACTAATCACTCTAATACAATGTCTTAGGTTTTCCAGAAATAGTAAATAAAGAAAAATTCAACTCTGAATTAACCCTTTGTTGCTTTATAAATCACACAAGCTGCTCTAAGATTAGAAAGTCATTTTGACAGAATCATTAGAAAATCATAAGTTAAAGTGAGAGCAAGCCTATGTTTAATAATTAATTCTTACATACCTGACTGCTTAATTCTGATAACAAATGATTGTTGCACAAATAACCTCAATACGTTTTCCATGAAGATTCTAAGGTAACAATTTTATTGAAGTACATTAATTCTATTTACCTGTCAAATACCTAGTAATTTTCATGAAATGGGCCATTGCATAAGAAGAGAAACCAATATTAGTGGGACAAGAATAAAGTAGAATGGGAGCATTACAGTGGAGGCCAAACACTATTCAGATGAGATTAATGGTCAGATGTGTGGACTTGGTTATCTCCTTTCATTCAGGACCCAGCGTCTGGAAGCCCATCTGCACAGCCCTACCACAATCAACAAGAGAACCCAGAAGTTGCTTCATTACTCACTAACAGTGGTAACTCGTGAGAGAGGACAACTAGAGAGAGAAAGCATCTGGTTTCCTAGTCCAGGCTTGTTTTGAAGTATCTGGTGTGTTAACAAAGAAGTCAGTAGATAGATTTATAATGAGAGAAAGCAAGTTCAGAGAGATTGCCAAATAATATTTACATACATATGTTGTTTATACACTACCACTCACCCAGAAATCATTCACAGTGTTTTTGCAGATATATAATTGCCTTAAGGGTGAGTCATTACTATAGTTTTGAAACAAAAATAATTTTAGTTCATTCTAAATTTAAGTAATAAATATCCCCCAGCTAATTTCATATTTCAAAGTGTAACAGTAAGGAATTGTAACCCACCACACCCTTCTTTTGACATTTTTTCTATAAATGCTGACTCTAATATTTAGCTTATAGATAAACAACATGATTATATAAGAATCTCAGAGGGAAGGAAGGAGGGGGCATGAAAAGATCAACCAAAGAACTTATATGCATACATGCATAACCCTTGGACAACAGTGCAGTGAAGTCCTGGGATAGGGGAAGGAGTGGGATGTTGGTGGGGGTGTCAATGGGGACATCTGTAATACTTTCAACAATAAAGATAAATTTTATTTATTTTTATTTTTTTTAATTAAATCTTTATTGTTCAGATTATTACATTAGTTACTCTTTTTTCCCACCATAACTCCCCTCCACCCGGTTCCAACCCCACCCTCTGCCCTCACTCCCCACCCACTGTCCTCATCCATAGGTGCACGATTATTGTCTAATCTCTTCACTCACCCCCACACCCCTTTCTCCCCGCCCCCCAGAATAGTCAGTCCATTCCCTTTCTATGTCCCTGATTCTATTATAATCACCAGTTCATCAGATTATTTATTCACTTGATTTTTAGATTCACTTATTGATAGATGTGTATTTGTTGTTCATAATTTGTATCTTTAC